GAATCGGCATCCGGGGGAGGGGAATCTGGGGAGAGACGGGGGAGGGGTGTTACAGCCACCGTCCCCACCACCCTCCGCCCCACAGCACCCCCTAGTGCCCATTGGGGCAGCCCTGCCTGCCAGAGAAGAGCGCCCCCTGCTGAGCCCCAGGTACCTGCAGCTCAGGGCCCCCTAGAGCTGCACTGCCCCGTAGGGTGTGCAGAGTCCAGCTCCCTCCTGGGGACTCACCCGGCCCTGGCACCCGCACGGCGACCGACGCCCAGGCAGTGAGGCTGGTGCCCGAGTTGTGAGCCTGGCACTCGTACGTGCCCTGCTGAGCGCTGGTCGTGAGGGTCAAGGTGAAGCTGCTGCCGGTCTGGCCAGTGTCGGTGCCGTTGAGAGCCCAGCGATAGCTCGGGGCTGGGACGGAGTCAGCGACACACGTGAGGGTCAGAGGGGACCCCAGGGGCAGGAGGATGGGGCCTGGTGGGTCTATCCTGGCGGAGTCTGGCCCATCTACACAGAGAGAGACGGGGCAGGAGACGGTGGCACCAGAGAGGGGTCTCTGGTGACCAAAGCCACACGCCCCACCCCAGAAGCAGCTGTATCTTGGTGGCCGGATAGGGCCAGCAGGGCAGGGGATGCGGCTACTCACAGGTCACTGTCACAGGGCTGGGCTCGCTGCGCTTGGAGCTGACGGCGTTCCCGACCTCGCACTGGTAGGCGCCGGCGTCGCCCCGGGTGACGTTCAGCACCGTCAGGGTGCGGTTGTCGGGGGACAGTACCAGCCGCCGGCTGGGCCCAAGGGGCTCCCCGTCCCGGAGCCAGAGCCGGGTGTCGGCGTTGAGGGAGCTGTTACACGTGAGGGAGAAGGTCCCGTTCTCAGGCACCAGGGTCTGGTTGGGCGTCACCGTGGGCCTGGGCAGCATTTCTGTGCGAGGAGCAGAGAGAGCGTCAGTGGGGGGAGCAGATGGACCCGGCCCCACCCCCAGGGGAACCCTCGGCCCCGGCTCTGCCCCACGGCCCCGTGGGGGACTCAGACCCAGCGCCCCGCCCACACTAGGGAGCTGTATCCAGCCAAACCCTCTGGCAGGGCTTGGGGGCAGTGGGGGGCTGGCAGCCAGGCCCCCCGGGCCCCATTCCCGCCCCTCCCACAGTACCAGCCCCTCCCGGTGTCCAGGGGGTTCAGGCGCTCTCGGCACTTGACAGAGGGGACCGAGAGGCTCCAGCGCCCGGGGGGGGTTCAGGTGCTCTCTGTGCTGGGCAGAGGGGACCAGGCTGGGGGTGGCGTCGCTGGCGCATCCTACTCTCTCTGCCAGAGGTCCCAGGACTTGTTACAGGAGCCAGGCCCAGCCAGCCCGGCCCGGCCGGAGGGTGGGGGGGGCCCGGAGCCAGCGCAGTGGAATCCACCTCACAAAAGAGCTGCCGTTTCGTGTAGGCAAGAGGGCCGCGTAGTGTGAAAGGGGAGGAAGTGAAACATTTGATCCCCAAAGAGAACGTCACGGTGCTGAGCGTGCCGAGGGCCAAGCATGTGCTAGTGACAGTCTGTTCTGGGCCCCTGCCAGAGGAGGAGCTGGAGCTGCGTTCGAAGGGAGAACACACTTCGCTGGGCTCTCGCTGTGCTGCAGCATGTCGGAATAAACTATCCTCCCGACCTTTTACTGAGTGGGAGGATCCCTTCGACCATTTGGAGGTTCCACCGAGATCCCAAACGTCAGCTCCCTGCCCCGGTGACGGACTGGCGCCCTGCAACCCGCTCAGAGCGCACGGCTGCGGGGAGGACACCAGCTTTGCTAGTTTCATAGTGTAGGGCCTGGGGGTCGGTCTTCGCCGCCTGGCGGGTGAGTTCCGACTACGGGATTTCTCCTACGTTTATTATCTTATGGGGAGTAGTTTATTGTTGTGTGTTATATGCAGGGCTCAGCCACGTGGGTCTGTGCATGCGCAGATCGCTCTGCGCCGGCTCTTCTGGGGTGTAATCTACTCGTCATGGGCAAGTCAGTATATTGCAGTCGGGCCCGGGTTAGATGTGTCTGTTCTGAACGCCAAGGCGCCACCCCAGCCTGCCCTCTAGGAGCAATCCAGTGACCGGCAGTGTCTGAAGGCGAGGGCCTGGCAGACAGTCGTCTGAGTGTGTCTGTTAAATTGCCTTTACGGCAGCCGTCCTGCATGGTCTGTCTGTCTCTGGAAGGAAGAGGCCGGGCGTCTTCCATTGTCTGTGAATTGTTTCTAAGGACGTTGGGCTCCCTTTATGGCAAGTGCCTTCCTGGTTTTCCCTGGTGTGGGACCCTAACGAAGCAAAGAATAACTTCAGCTGAAGTCTGGTGGGAAGCGCCGGGTCCTTAGGGCAGCGCCGCGTCACAGAGACCCACGGGAACTGGGCGAGAGAGACGCATCTACAGGTGGAAACTAGGGGCAATGTGCAAAGGAGAAAAGAAAAGCAATGTGTGTGGAGAATGCTGGGTACGGATGTGCTGAGTGGCCTGTGATGCCGCTGCCCGGGTCTGAGGGTTACGGATTCCAGGGCTCTCCCACGAGGGGGTTCTGAAAGCAGGGGGGTCGGCGAACTCGGAACACGTGAGGAAGTGACGACTCCCCTTATTTCATGAGCTGCTGCTACGGCCTGACGCTCCAGACCCAGCAGCCCCTTCTCTGGTTTCCTATGAGCCGCTGAGCGGACAGGCAGTGGACAGGGTACGCCCGGTGACTAACATAGGTGGGGCCGGTCTAAGCACACCCCGCGCCGCCGGAAGGCGTCCTGCGTACCACAGGTGCGGGCATCATGGACCAGGGACCGCTTTTGGCAGAGAAGGATTTAATCAGGGGGCGCTGGGAAAGGAAAGTGCCAGCAGCAGGGAAG